TAGTTTTAAGCTGCAATATTTACTAAAATACCCTCCAAACCTTCTCCCTAATTTCCCATGCCGGAGGTTCCGAGGGCAAAGGTGAATTGATTTACGGTGGAGGAAACACGGTTGTTGATGGCGGAAAGGTCGAGTCTTGCGTCGGAGACATTGCTCATCAAGAGCTGAATCCGAACAGTGAGCAAACAAAAAGGCGAATTGACGAAAATGCCCTCGGATGCATTCACGACAACAATAGACTCCGAGGGGTAAAAGAAAAATCTTAGATGGATCCTCGCCATTCATAACGAGCTGGACTAAACGACGAGACTGCCGGAGTTATCAGTGCAAGTTTATTGAAGTATTAACTCTACCTGTGAAAATTATATTAAAAAAAAACCAAACTTTTTGTATTAAAATTCAAATTATTATTGTTGGGTTTATGAGAAAGTTTCGAAATTTATTGAAAAAATCACTAACGTTGAATCATAAAACTAATAAATAAGAAATCAAGTGTCTTCTTAATCTAAATACACAAAAAGCAGGCCTTGGTAGAAAGGATTAATTCAAGTATCCAAGTAGATGAAGCTTTCACGGTCCATAAACATCAAGTCAACACATGCTCTTTTTGTCCTCACTACACCAGCAGTATGGGAGAATGTGAAAGGGAGAACGCAATATACACCATACAGGTATCAAGATTACCTTGCCAATTTGAGCTGTACGTTCTACCTTCAATTCATTGTTATTGACCAAAAGGCTGCAAAACCCAGAGTCTTCCTTGACCATTCCTTGTTCCCCGCATCTTCCAAAACTCACTAGGAAATTTTGATTATTTTTGTAAATAATGAGATCAAGTAGAAAATAGGAAAATCAACATAAACATATTTCACTACATCGTATTGAGCATGTCGAAACTATTCAACATCCACGGTTCCATTTTCGCTTATTTTCTTGTTCAAAATTTTCTTGAGAAACCTACTAAGTCATGTTAGTTCCAAACGTCTAGAATAAATTATCAACAAATATTTATAGAAAACTTATTTTTCATACCAATATTCTCGTTGCAAAGGT